TGTCCATACACATCCCCCTCCCCCTCCTTCCTGCATCCCCGTCCCTGGCTGTACATACACATCCCCCTCTCCTTCCTGCATTGTTGCACCTCGCTGGCTGTACATACACATCCCCCTCTCCTTCCTGCATTGTTGCACCTCGCTGGCTGTACATACACATCCCCCTCTCCTTCCTGCATTGCCTCAACCTGCTGGTTGTCCATACACATCCCCCTCTCCTTCCTGCATTGTTGCACCTCGCTGGCTGTCCATACACATCCACCTCTCCTTGCTGCATTGTTTGTTGCCCCACTGTAATATTTACAGCATGCTGGAAATGGTGTATATTTTAAATGATAACATTGGCGCAAGTGCTTTATTATTTTGACACATTATCAGACAGACCAAACCTTCAAGGGATAAAGGAAGAGTTATGTGATCTGCAGTCAGCAGGAACAGCTTGTATTAAAGGAAAAGCTGAGATACCAGAAAATGTATTCCTTAAATGTTGGTATATTTTTCATGTCAAAGAAATGGGTAGCCAGAAAATGTATATATCCTTAAGTGATGGTAAAGTGATGTCATTAAATACTGGACAGCCAGACAAGGAATATGTACATCCATAAAGAGTTCCAGGTTGGTTCTATATCAATTATTCACAGTTCAGGTGCAAAATCTCTTTTGAGGTATATAGGGATAAAGAGTGATATTCCTACGAATGGATGAAATAGAAACAAATCTTTGCTGAATGTTCAAGCTTCAAACTGGTTCACCAGTAACATAGGCTGGTGTTTACCACAATGCAGCATCATCACCCAATTAGAGACCGAGAAGGAGAGAATCCACCCCATAGGAAGATATAGTGTGGAAGGATCCGCCACCCCTGTTGGGTTGTTGTTTTTTTTCTGCCAAAAAAAAAAAAATTAGGCCCAGGAACTTTTGCCATAATGTACTAGTATGCACAGCATATTAGCACATTATGCAGACTTGCCTACAGCGATCCTCTCCGGCACTGCTCCCCTCGGCCACCATCGCTTCCAAATTCAGAGACGGTCCTCTTCCAGGTTCCGACTTTTCCACCACTTGAATAGCCAGGCCCAGATTAAGTTACTTCATCTCTGCAAGAATCCTGCCAAGACTGTGCACCGAGCTGGAGGCAGGGAGAAACACAGTCAGTTTTGCCTAGAGATGCTTAGTTTCCCTGGTTTCTGATTCTTATGTTGTGTTGTTGCTCCGTCACATGAAGCTGCAGTGGGAAAGCCTGTCCCCAGCCAGAATGCTGTAGAAAAGAGCTCTTGCTCTTTGTGTGGAAGCAGCAGGCTCTCTGCACAGGTCCAACATGCCCTCTAATGTGTCATAGCTAGAGCTTGCCACTCAGGAGGGAGCATGAGCTTTGCTGATTGCAGAGGTCCAATCTGTCCAACAGAAACAGCGCAGAACAGATAGTTGTTTCAGGTTTCTAAGTTTCTTTTTTGTTCTTTTGTAGCTACATGGGTTTTAAGGTGCATGGAAAACCAAAATGACCACAAAACAGCTGGCAAAGTAAGATGTGAAAATTGTTACTACTATATTTTACTGGTGTATGAATGTGTTCAAAACAAATGTGTTGATGTGGTTTTGCTGTGGGAACCCAGATATGGTTGTAATGGTTTTCTTTAAAAAAAAAAATACAATTGCAAATAACCGGGGTAATGTGCAGAGTGCAACAGTCAGGGCTTGTTCACACCAAGCGCGGAGCAGATCCAGACCAGAGCAGGTGCAGACCGGATCAAAACTGCGTCCAATGTATTCCTATGGTATTTTGACCTCCAGTTCACATCGCAGCGTGCGGATCCAGACCAGATCCAGACCGGATGAAAAAAATGCGGCAAGCCCTATTTTACCTGCTCTGGATCTGGTCTGGAACGCATCAAAAACGCATCAAAAACGCATGCAAGTGCCTGAAAGCCCATGTTAAAACTTTTTTTTTTACCAAAACCAGCCCTAAACGCATCAAAAACGCGTCTAAAACGCGGCACAACCCACTGCACTGCGTGTGCAGAAACCTGACCGGATCTGGTCTGCATTTGGTGTGAACAAGGCCTTAGTGTCAACCAATTGGGTTTTAGTTTACTGAAATCAGCACAGTGGATGGGGAATTCTGATTGTTTGCTGGGGGTCACTACTGTTTTGCACATTACTTTTTTTATTATGGAATGAGTCTTGGAATTCAAATCAGCCAGAAATCAAAATTCTAGGCAAAACAAATGTAAGCACGAAATCTGTTGTGTTTCACTATATTTTATTCCCTTCTCTACTATTTGGCAAGTATCAGCCATGTGCCCAGTTCAACAACTTTCTCTCAATGAAATCATGGTAATGGTATTAACTTATTAGGTGACCAAAAAGAAAAATGCTGCAGAGGTTCTGCCTTCTTAGTCACCTCACCTCCTCTAGCTTGTTATTGGAAGACAAACGCTCACTTTAATTGATGAGATCTCTTCTGTATACTGTATATACTGCATATCATGGAAATGATCAGCCGTATATTGCAAAATCTGCAGCCAACTGTGCGCATAAGCTACTGATGCTAACTAGTAATAAAGACAAACTTACAGATATTAAGTGGTGTTTCTACAGGCAGCTTGGTCTAATAAGAAGAAGCTCTAAACTGTCTCTGAACTGTAAGAATGGCAGCAGCCCCAAATCTAGTAAGTATATCTTCCTGTTGCTTAATTGTGTATGAGGGAGCTGGAAATGTCTGACACTGCTGTCTGTTTTGCAGAACAATTTTTTCAATACTTGATCATCATCGATTTCGAGTCAACCTGCTGGAAGGACATTAAGCACTATGGCCAGGAAATCAGTAAGTAATATGTTGCATTAGACTTGGTTAGATATGTATATGCCATGTGTGTTATTCTATCAGCTTTCCATACTGTAATAGAGCATGCACCTTCTAATCCTAACTACAGTCTGAGTAAATGTAAAGACTCCAAGGAATGTCCAGCCTCTGCACATTTTAGGTGGATCCATACTAGGGATCCAACCAACTAATTGATAATGAAAATAGTTGTCAACTATTCTTATCGATTAGTTAGTTGGATCCCCTAGCTCTCTCTCCTCCACGTTGGCTTCGGTCGGGGGCGTTCTCCTGCCGGTGCCCTGCTTCTCCTGGATCCGGGCGATGGTTCCTGTCTTCCTTGGTGGTATGTATGTGGGGTCTCCGGTGGATGTTCTGAGGACCTGGATCTGAGGTAAGCTGGAGGCTGCGCTGTTCACACAGCTGCAGCCTCCTGTGTCCTCTCTCCCCCCCCCTCCCCTGCCCTACCTACATGGTGCTGGCTCCTGTGCAGACCCCTCCGGGGGGTACCTGGGCCTTGGGGGTGCTTAGTGGTGTTGTGGGTGGTACCTCGCGGCTGATGCAGCTCCCTTGGACGGCCGCTACTCGAGGCCCCGGTCTGGATGCGGCCTCCGGGCGACGTCCTGGTTGTCTCGGTCTGTTACTCAATGTCCCTGGCTTGGTGGGGCAGGGAGACCTGGTGGGGCCGTGGAGCCTTTGTTTGCTGGGTGCTGGACCCGGAGATGGAGGAGGGCTGGTTTGGGGACAGTGTCGCTGGACAGCGGGGTGCCGCCTCCGCACCGGTGGTGGCACAAAGGTTCCTGAAAAATTAATTACTGTCAAGTCTTTCTTTTATTCCATTACACCTGTGATGCTGATACCTTTTACGTAAAGCATGTGTTCTTTCAAGAGCTCTCAGAAGCCCCTGCTTAGTTTCTTAAGCAGCACGCACAGACATAACTGAATTTGGACAAGCACCACCTGTACATGCAAAAAGGATCCTAAATGTGTTATCACCTGTCTCCTCATGTACAGATCTGCATCATGTACATGAGGAGATCTGAATAGTAAGAGAACAAACCTTACCCTCTAACAAACTCCCACATTCACCCAACATGCAAATTAATTGCATGTTGGACATTACAGCCTGCAAAACGCAGCACTGGGTCATCTCTACATTATCAGATAAATAAAGCATCAGTTAGAAAAAAAGGGGACACCAATAACTTGTCACAACCCCAGCAACATAGATCTCCCAAGGTTCACCAGTGTGTTTTTTATTAATTTTTTAGAACTACATACACAATTAAAGTGACACTATACTCTGGGAATTAAATCTTAAAACTGCATTCATGTACCTTAACTATTGAAAATACTGTATTTAATATAGAGAGATTGTGTGTGTAATATATAATTTATGTATCACTCGGCTGTAGATCCTCAAATCATCTTTGCATTGGTGCTGACACTGTCCTTCCTTCTGGAGGGTGCCTACTTTTGTTCCCCATGGTCCCTGTGTGTGTTGTAAAGTAGCCACCGCTCCAAGCTTGCACCTTTTTATATAGGGCTGCAACAACTAATCGATTATAATCGATTATTGAAAAAGTTGTCAACTTTTTCAATAATCGATTAATCGGCTTCTGATCAGTTGGCCCTGTTCACAGCTCCACACGCTGTGCGCCGCACCTCCTCCCCACCTCACGCTCGCCGCTGCCAGACCCGCTCGCATCCACGCTCCACACGCCGCACCTCCTCCCCGCCTCACATTTCCTGCCCGTCCACATCCACGATCGGCACAGGGACGCGGGGAGATGTAGTAAGGAGGAGCAGGTGTGGGGGGATGACAGCTGCTGATAGACAGGTCCGATCTCAGAAGCAAGTTGCTGGAAGACTGCTCAGGTTAGCCTGCACTTTCCCACACATATTGCTCTATAATGTATTGCTTGGATAGGTGGATTTGTATTCCTCTATAGCTGATGGTACATTGTGCTGTATATTATACAGAGGACTACAAATCCCAGCAATACATTATACACTGTATGTATAATGTATTGCTGGGATTTGTTGTACTCCTCTATAGCTGGTGATATTCTGCATTGCGCTGTATAGAGGACTACAAGTCCCAGCAATAATACATTATACAGCGCAATGCAGAATACCACCAGCTGTAGAAGAGTACAACAAATCCCAGCAATAATACATTATAAAGTGGTACAATGCTAAATACCACCAGCTATAGAGGACTACAAAACCCAGCAATAGTACATTATACCGCGCAATGCAGAATGCCGCCAGCTATTATGTACTATTGCTGAGATTTTTTGTATTCCTCCTATAACTGGCGGTATTCTGCATCGTGCTGTATAATGTGCTTTTGCTGGGTTTTGTAGTCCTCTATAGCCGTTGCCATTCTGCATGCATTGCTGTATAATTTTACACTTTCCATTTCACTATATTGCCCCCCAAACTATCTTTTTTTTTTTTCTTTTTTACTTCCACCGGTCCAAGCTTGCTCCTGTGATGGACTACAACCTCAATACAAACTAGTAGTCCATCACTGGAGCCATTTTTTAAACTTTATTTTATAGTTTATCCGATTAATCGAACGTAATAATCGGCTAACCGATTTTGAAAATAATCGTTAGCTGCAGCTCTACTTTTATCGTTTGCTTGTAAATATGCTTGATTTTATTCCTAGTTCTGTCTACTCAACAAACTTTGTGAATTGTGTTCATCTTGTTTTTCAGTTGAGTTTCCAGCAGTTTTATTGAATACATCCAGTGGAGAGATTGAATCAGAGTTTCAGACCTATGTGCAACCACAAGAGCACCCAATTCTTTCTGCATTTTGTACAGAGCTGACTGGAATAAAACAGGTATATCTATCTCTTGACAAATGATTAAGAAAGGTGGAAAACTCCTGTTTTATGATGGGAGTCGAATCTAAATTTCAACCACCATTTGTTTATGCCAGGAAAACTATTAGGCGTACAAGGTCCCTGTGAGATTTGAAGAAATGCAAGCCCTTCCTTTATAACAGACCAAACTCATGGGATCACCCAGCAGTAATCTGGCAAGACATAAATCAGTGGTTCTCAACCTTTCTAGGGCCTGGGCACCTTGGTAACATTTGCCAAGTTGTGGTGACTCCCAACTGTAAAATGTAGGGATGGCGCGGCTGCTGCAGCGACGCGTGACGGGAGAACTGACACTGCTGCGCTAGGAGAGGGCTGAGGAGGACTCTCACCTAGCACAGCAGAAATCATACAGCGACCCACAGGTTGAGAACCACTGCTTTAACAGCTAAAATGGCAAACCATATAACACAAGCTGAGGGTGTCGGCTTTTATTATTATTAATAATAATGATAATAAAAGGTTTGTTTTTCTTTTGGAAAAAAATTACTATTTTTATTATCTACATATAAAAATGGGTTGTAATTAATAATAAAAATAAAGGGTTTTGTGTTTCCTTTTGGAAAAAAAAAATAGTAATAAAAGCAATTTTATTTCAAAAGAAAACTCAAACTTTTTTTTATTATTATATACAACCCATTTTTATATGTAGATGATAATAATAATAGTACATTTTTTTCTAAAATAATAGCAATTTTTTTTCAAAGGAAAACTCAAACATTTTTTTATTATTATTAATTGCAACCCACTTTCATATGGCAACAAGCATTTTCAGAATGAGTGGTCTGCTATGGTAGCCTCCATGTTTTCCTTATAACAGGGTACCTTCCTTAATACATAACTGGGTTAAATTGTTGCTTAAAGTTTGGCTTTAAAGTATAACTAAACCCAAGACAAAAATGTAATATATTGCAGCTTACAGATCCTTAGAGGAGGTGGCTGCATTAGTTTTTCTTTTTACTGCAAGAGCAAAAAGACATGTTGATCTTGTCAGAATCGCAGTGCCCTTATCACTTCATGTGCACTGAACTGAAATCTCAAACCATGTTATCAGCCTATCTAGCTATCTTCTGTGAACTATAAAACACCACTTTCCTATGTAGAGGAGGGAGAGGTGTTTGTAGTCCAAATCAGTAGAACAGCCTAGAAATTTCTGTGCCTAGATGGGAAGTGTGTTACTGGCAGCATCAACAGGTGAAAATAAAGAGGGGGGGGGGGA